ATACATTAATGTATCATAAACATTACGCACTGAATGATACATTGTGATGAAGCCGTTTAATATACTGAATTATTAAATAGTTACTCCATAAATAATAATAGTTATGAAAGTAAAAACACAGAAGACCACTGTGCTGGTCGTGCCGGTGAAGCTGGAGGACTGGAGGAGGTGGAGCCAGGGAGCCGGATTGGACCAGCGGAGGAGGAACGGTCAAGGAAGTGGGCGGAGCCAGAGTGTCCATCAAGCTGTGCAAGACCAGGTGTCAGGTCTTGGCTCTGGGAAGGACATTACAGCATGCCCTATGGATCTGGGAGCTCTGGGGGGTTGGGATCCTCCTCCTCACCCATTGCCTTTTGTTTCCTGTGTGATAGAAGCTGCACAGGAAGTCATCTGTGTAATGCACACACGTAAGCTACACTGTAAAAAAATAGTATTATTTTACAATAAATTACTGTAGTCAGGAATTTACTGTGAAATCGACGCATGCTGGTCATTTTCTTACAAATGACTGTGAATGAACAGCAGAATGATGCTAACATCACAGTCATTAACTGCTCGTTTTACTGTGAATTCACATTATAAAGTTGTCTTTAACTGTGCCACTGTGAGATATTTAGTTGTTTACTGCTGCAATTGTTTTGAAGTCACCATAATGGTGATCAGTGATTAGCATTTGTTTGGGCTCTTTGACCTTACATATTCATATTCAAATTTCTGATCTAGTCGTGTCAGAAGTGTGACAAATGAAAACTTTTATCAAAATGATGACAAGTTAGAATATGAAATAAGTGAATTACCTGACTTTAAGATAGTCTAACTATTCTTAGCATGAACGTGAAGATTTTATTTCAGTATTATTTAAGCATGAAGATTAATCAATAATATTTCATATTCATAACTGTTTGTGGATGGATCTTTCACAAATTGTATTTATTTACCTGCATGTCATGTGACCATTAATCAACATCAGAAAACCATGAACAATGTTTAAATGTGATACTTAATTATTAAAATATTTATTTTAAAATCTCAGGGGTACGTCAAGTAAATATATTACCTGAAAGAGGTTCGGCTGACAAAAAAAACGTCTGGGAATCCCTGCTACATGTAAATAAGAAACAACGTGAATTTGTGCATTTTAATGTGTATGAAATATAAAAGCCTTCCAAAGACAGCAACACATGGTTAAACAACCCACTGAGTGATAATTCAAATAAAAATGAATGTGTCCATCAGTAGTTAATGCAAATGTTGAAATGCTGAGAAAACAATTCTTAAGACTGAAAGGATTTCTGTTAATCCAGTGGGCCAATGCTGTGTAGCCTCCTGACTAATGACTGGTGTTTGTCTGAAAATCCACAAAACTAGAAGACTTTCTGAATGTAAATAAACGGAAGACTATTTTAGAAAGGAAAAGTTTAAAAATGAAAAAGAATAATTACGGAGAATCAATATATTTTGAATAATTTATTGCTATTGTGTGAACTATATGTAATCATGTAATCAATAAGAAAGTAACTGTAGTCTGATTCCGAGTATTTGAAAAGGTAATTTAATCTAATTACAAGTACTTAACTTTTGGAATCTGATTATGTAATCCAGATTACATGTAATCAGTTAATATTTCATATTCATAACTGTTTGTGGATGGATCTTTCACAATAGTGAAGCGACTGCTGAGAAACGTCTTTAAATAAACAAGACTATAATCCAAGTGGAAAACCGCAATCTAACAGGAAACAGAAACACAACAGCTTTGTTCAAACAAAGACAATAACCAACAAACTAATGAACCAAACCGAGGGCTATAAATACAAGACCAAACAAGGAACTAAACAAGAAACAGCAGGAGAATCAAAAACCATGGAAACTAGTAAAAACAGGAGCTAAGCCGGAAACAAAGGAAGAGAATAAACTTCAAAATAATAGTTTCTGAACCAAAAGGAAACTGGTGACTCGTGACAAATATAATTTAGTCACCTAATAAAGATTTTTTATTTTTTTTGCAACCCATGAAAAATGGTGCAAACCCACTATTTTGTATGTCTCTCTGTAACACACCTGATTCAGATCACCGGCTCATTAGGAGAGAGCTCCATGAACTGAGCTGCTGTCAGATTGAGTCCCTAAAGATGTTCACTGCTCACTATTCCCTAAGCATGTTCACTTCACTTGACATAATGCGTTCTTTGGGAACACCGTGCAACGTCATGACACACACAGACCAAACTTCAGTAGAGCTTATTAGAGAAGTTTGAGGTATGACATATACATACATGCAGTATCCAAGTGCATTTATATAAACATCATAATTAATTTAATTAATAAAAAATAATATTTCAATTTCTAAACTGTCTGATATATGTCTGTAGAGATGTTATATGAAAATAAATGTAATTTGGTTATACTGTCTGATGTCTGATAACCAATGTATTTATGTATATTATGTATATTAACTGCTGAAACAGTTCTACTCTGCTATCATTGAGTCTGTCCTGTGTACTGGAAGCTCCTGTCGTCAAGTCAAATTCCTTGTTTGTGTAAACATACTTGGTAATAAAGCTCTTCTGATTCTGATTCTGATTCTGATGAAGTGAACAGCATGCACTAGTTTTTAGCAGAGTTTTATATTAGCTGCTAATAGAGTTTTGTATTAGTTGCCATAATCTATCCTGCTGGTAATGAATGCATGAATAAGCTTCTTTATTGGACACAAAAGATCTGATTCGTGCTATGTTTTGTAGATGGCAATAGACTGATTTAGTAATTGCTTTGATGCGGCTTCTGATGTTAAGATCACAGTCCAGGATGACAAAACAGGATGAAAAAAAAAAAAAGATGTGGGAGTGTCCAGACAACAGGACGTTTGAAGGTGTTTCATACAAAGTTTTGCAGTCAGTTGTCTCAAAGTTATTCATAGTAACTATCCTCCTATGCTGCTGTAGTGGAGGCTGACTTATTTCAGAGCTAAAAGAGGACCTATTGCTCGCCATTCTAATGTTGTGCATTTTATCACTGAAAAATGATGCAAACTCTTCGCATTTCTGAGTAGAAAACAGTTCACTGGATAGCAAGTTTGGAGGGTTAATTAACCTGTCAACAACAGCGAGCAGTGTACGTGTGTTACTGATGTTCTTGTTTATAACATTTGAAAAGAAGGTCTGTCTAGCAGTGTGAATGAAGTTCCTTATTGTAAGTGTTAAGAGATTCTTTGTAGATGCTATAGTGGATTTCTAGCCTTGTTTTCCACCACGTAAGTTCTGCTT